CCCCTCCCCCGCCCGGCCCCGGCCCCGGCCCCCCGCCCTCCGCGCAGCGCTCGCCTCCCTCCGCCTTAAACTGTTTTGGTAGCAACGGCAACAGCGGCAGTGAGTCCCGGCCCGGCTCCCAGCAGCTCCTCGGTCTCGGCGGGCCTCCCCGCCCCTTCGTCCTCCTCCTTCTACCCGTCGCCAGCCCGGCCGCCCCCCCAGCCGCGCTACTGCGCGCCTCCTCGCTCGGCGCCCGTGCGTCCCTGCCGCGCTCCGGCGTCTCCTCGGCGCGCCCGGCTCTCGGCTGTCCCCGCCCGGCGTGCGAGCCGGTGTATGGGCCCCTCACCATGTCGCTGAAGCCCCAGCAGCAGCAGCCGCCCGCGGCTGCCAGTGTCCGCAAGCCCGGCGGCGGCCTTCTCACATCGCCCGCCGCTGCGCCGTCACCGTCCTCAGTCTCGTCGTCCTCGGCCGCGGCTTCCTCCTCCTCCTCCTCTTCCTCCTCCTCCTCCTCGGCGGCCGCGGCGGGCGCAGGCGGCGGGCGGCCTGGCCTGGGCAGGTGGGTGTCGGTGTCCCAGCCCCCTCCGCTGCGGGCCTGGACGAGTCGGGCCCTCGCGTCCCCTCCCCCGCGTCCCACGCCACCGTTCCCGCCCCGCGGCCGGCCGGCTGGGGGGTGGGGGTGGGCCAGGGGTCCCCTTTAGGGTCTGAAGCTCGGGGTGGACTGGGCTCGGGGCGCTGCAGGATTCTTCTGGGATTGTCAGGCCATGTCCATCCTCCTGCATGCAACATCCCCTCCCCCTTCCCCAAACGGTCAAGATGGAGGGACCGGGCAGCCCCCCCCCCCGGTCTAAGTGTGTGCAAGGGATTCACGAGTTTCACCAGTTGTCAGTCACTGTTTCACCCTCTTTAAGCCTTCCCCGTCCCATATGGGGAGATGATCCCCACCTCCAGCTTAGATCTAATGTTGGAAGGGTTTTTAAGGCTTTGGTCTGCTCTGCTGAAACATGCTGATTTCCGGGTTGGGGAATGTCGGGGGGCGGGGGACGACAGAGTTAAGACAGTGTCCCTGGTGAAGGGCTCTTCTGAAGTCGTTAGTGTTCGTCCCGCGTGCTCTGCCACCCCGCACTCCCTGCCATGGAGAAGATGAAAAGACCGGGTGAGGTGGGTGGGCAGTGGCCTCCCGAACCCCCTTCTCTTTAACCCTGAGGCGGCGGCGGCGTGGCTAGGGCTCCAGAACTCGCGTGGAACGCCGGGTCCGGTGCAGTCTCCTGCAGCGTTCCGCCCTCCCCCACCTGGGCACGGAGTGGGGAGTGCCTGGCCCCCTCGCCGCCTCCTTCCTTCCCCGCCAGGTCCCCGGCACGCGGGTGGTGGCCGGATCCGCATTGCCGTTCCTAGGCCGCGGAGAAGACGCCTTTGGGTAGCGGTGGGCAATGGCCGGACTTGGGAGATGGGGGCGGCGGGGGTGGTGGCGGCAGGCAGCGGGCACGCTTGCTGCGCATTTTTCCCTAACCCCCGCCCCAATTTCTGAAATTCCTAGGGGATAGGAATTGCAGCAGAGGACACGGTGGGCTTCCCGAAGGCAGGAACGCGGGTGTTTACTTGCGTACTCGCCCCTTCTCCCCTTCTCCTGACCCAGTTTGTGGGGGAAGCTGGAGGCTCGGTGTAGTCCTAGCTAAAAGGGTTTGACTCCGGAGGGTGTGTTTGTGCGGGAAGGCCGGTGGGGGTGGGGTCGGGGTGGCTGTCAGTTCGTATTTCATGAACTAAGAAAATGCTTAGTATTCAGTCGGAGAAGCAACTGCCAATAGACTCCATTCCATTGTGGCCGGTGTCCTTAACTGGGGGAGTGTTACCGGAGCTTACCAAGGGCACGCAAGTCCATTTCTCCTATGCCCCTGTCCATCCGTGTTGCAGGCACTGCTGTTCCTCTCAGGCTGAGGCTTGGTTGGCAGGGCCAATGACCAGCGACCTCCTTAAATAGACAGCCAGGGCTTCCCGTGGTGGAACGGGGATATTTCATGCGCTGAGTTTTCTTTTTGAAAACGCGTTTTCAGCAGTCCATTTCCAAAGAATTTTCACGTACAGCATAAGTAGCTACCTGTCAAGATGAGTCAGAGCTGGGTTTTGAGGAATTCTGCTGTTGGTAACTTCCTCGCTTTGACTTATAACCCCCCAGCTCCCGGTTTCACCTTGTAAGCACTCCGAATACTACTTAGTCCAGCTAGTTCTTTTGAAGTGATCATTTTCCCAGCTCAGTCCATGTACAACCAAGTTACATCATTCTGTAGCTTGTTTCCCGTTTTCAGTGGTGTTTAGTGAGAAAAAAATTTTTTTAATATAATTTTCGTAGAAAAGGGTACGTTCGGTTTTTTTCAAGTATCAGGAAATCTGGCCGAAATATTCAACTTGTTCCAATAATTGAAAAATTATTTTCTTTTTAGGCCGAAAAATTAGATTATAACAAAGAACTTGCTCCAGAGTAGGTTGAATGGTCAAAGATATTCGGGATGTTTTAGTGCTAAAAGTCTGTTACTTGATGCTTCACAAATACTAAAGGTTAATTTCCATTCTTCCTTTAAATTGTTTTACTTGAGCATAAAGTGGAGCTCTTATGCTTTTTACAACGAAGGTGTCTCTAGACCTTTAAACACCTTTTTTTTTTTTTTTTTTTGTGGTCCTGGGGATCGAACTTGGGTCCTTGCGCTTTCGAGGCAAGCAGTGGAAGCACTGAGCTAAATCTCAGGTCCCGGAGCTCTTACTCTTTTTAATGAAGTTTTGTTTAATGATTCATAGGATGTAAAGTTTTACTGTACAACTCTTTGGTTGTAGAATTGCTTCAATTTTTAGTCACTTCACTGGGTTCTTTGTAAATCCATTACAACTGAAATGTTCCTCACTTGTTCTTTGTTTTTAACAATTACAATATGATTCTGGAAGTAAGGGTGAAAAAAGAGGTGTACTGGTTTTGACATGTTTGAGGTAGAATATTCTTGGAAATTGTGAAATTCATGTTTGCTTTAAATAACTGCATATCTGACTTGGTTTTTGTCTATAGATTTGTTTCAAAAGTGGCTTACTCAGTTTTTATCATATACATCTGAAGGTGGCTATTTTATTTTAGGAAGAATGTGATCACATTCTTAAATTTTGAATGTAATTTTACCATAGTCCTATTTTTTTTGGTACTGGGGATCAAACCCAGGAACTTGCAAGGCAGGTGCGGTGCCACTGAGCTAAATCCTGGCCCCATA